ATTCGGCTGGTGATATGCTTGTTGGTCACACGGTGTCCGGTTTGCCAATCCATAAATCTGAGTTTGCAATTCTTCCACCCAGGTTTAAAGGCGAGCGATATCAAGTTGAGACGGCAAAATGAATTTGCTATCGTGGTTTGCCCCCGAACGTCTCATTAATTGGCGAATATGCTCTAGTGTCTATCGTCTACCACTACACGTACTTGAAAGAGTACCTTCCTGAAGAGCTCCCAATTTTTCAAGCGCCTTTGATGCAAAACAAGCAGAAAATTCAAGAATTGAAGAAGTTTATTATCTGTGACGAGGCCAGCAGTGAAGAGACGATCACTGTCACTGGTGTTCCATTGCACGTTGTTTCATTATCGGAATTACAATCGTGGTCGAGTTACAACGCTCGGGATAGCACAATGGTGCTTGTGAAGTTATTGAGGGTATCCGCTTAGTTTTAGACGATGCAGCGGAACACCGGGGTACTCCAAGTTGTTCCCGGGATGCAAGTACAGTACTCAACTGTCTTAAAGAGGGAGGATACCTGTGTCAATGACCTGAGCCACTAGAACGAGCTGAGCCCAATACAAGCACGGACAATATTCATTCACTCACCGCCATCTTCCCGCTACACACTTGGGGCGGGGACTTTCACCTCGTCCCCAAAGGATATGACCTGCCTGAGGGGACCGCTGACCAAGCCTGGATCTTCTGGTGTTGTGGTGATCCATCACGTTCTCTGCCCCCGTGTCGGCGATTGAAGAATGCGGATCTTCGTGACAACAAGCAAAACAAACGACTGTCAAACCTTAGTTCCTGATGAACTTGGTGGAGCAGCGGGCTGTAACACTAGGCATCGATACCAGATCACTCACCGTCGAAGAGGCCGTGTCAGCGTTCCGCAGATGTGAAGAAGTACTGGCTGTTTCTGAAGTTACTACTAAGGCACGCAAACGGCGATGCAGCCAGCTAGTCTGGCAAACAGTTACATCAATCATGCATAAAAAGGTGCGGAGGGCGTTATAATAACAATAACAACGTAACAAGGCCTTCGTGTACCTACAGCAGCGCTTGCTGAAGCTGGTCCTTTTCTTGGTTCACTTGGTGTGTGCTGCTCTCATTGCAATATTAAATGTGTACCACCTTGAATGTAATACCTCCGGTAAAAAGCCACAACCCTCCGGTAAATTCCGCACAAGTAACTTATGCGCTTTTTGTTTTTAATCAGACGTGTAGTACTATTAATAATAGTGATATTGACGGTCGCCATTTTCTTTTTTTAAATTTGACGGTTTGTTCATATAAAGAATGAATAATGCTCGGGGAAAATAAATCAAGATACTGACAAAATGTTATGGGGGATCTCGCCAAACGCTTCAATTTTGAATTGTCATTTTGAGCGTTTAAAGCGCTGGAAGTGCACATTGGCAAACCTTAATAAACTGTACACGATACTTTTTATGTGTCAGAGTAAAATAGCAAGCGTATTTTCAGGTATTACTTTTATTAACCGCGCATTCGTGCCATAATAACTTAGAAGCGCCATCTGAATTTCTGTTGCAAATTATTGCGGCGACTTTTTTGTCGTTCTCAAAGGGGAATTTACATAAGTAAGTCAGAAATAAGGACTGAGATTTTAGATGGGAGTAGTAACCAAATCTTATAAAAAAAATACTAGTACTGCTTTTGCGTCTGCAGTTTTCATAGTCAGTATAATCGTAAATACATTCGTTCCGAATTTTAATATCTAAAAGGAA